CATATGAAGGAAAGCGCAGTTTTGAAATGTACATACATCTATTCGGGAAAGTCTGAGACTTCTTGCATGTTATTTATAGAGAAGATTTGGTCTGCGCAGGTTTGGTCGTATTTGTACTGCCCCGAACTTGTGGGGGGGGGGGGGGGGGGGGGCGGGGGGGGGGGGGGGCGGGGGGGGGGGGGGGGGGGGGGGGGGGGGGGGGGGGGGGGATCCTCGTCTTGGAGGTGCTCTTGTATACCTCCATTGAGCAAGTGATCAGGATGATCACCGGAGGACATTTGTATCGGACGATTTGTGGACTTGCTCCGCCATCATAACCATGGAATTGCTTCGTTCCTGTGGCATGGTACCAACCATCCAAATCATGTTAAATAGCTATGCACATATAAGAACTGGAGTTCCATAATGCAAATCTGTATGGCATGACCGATTGAGTTTCAGACGAAGTTGGCGGTGCGAGCGCCATACAGCAAGACGAGATGATTGACAAGTCTCCCCGATTCACCGGAAAATGTGTCGATCCTATTCGATCTTCTGCGACGAGCACAAATATAACCATGACTGGTAAGAGGGAACACAGACAGGGGCGGAGATTGTACATTGGGTGGAAAAGCGAGGGCATAGCGTCAAGGATGGATGAACTTCGACTCGAGCAAGGACCCATACGAGCCCGGTCTTGACTCTTGATACTTACTGTGTTCGCTTAGCAGCTGCCCCGAGCACTCTTGGAGGAGGCATCCACTCGCGGAGCTACGTGGGTTCGTAGTTCCAAGATGTTTCCGACCGTAGTATAAGGCCACGCGTGCTTTTCGTGCATTCCATTTATTCTATCACCGATACCGATCGTAGTACCGTCTGCAATTTCAAGACTAGCACTCACAAGCAGATACTGTGGATGATGGCCTGGAAGAGTTCTTCTCCCTGTTAGGCCGAATCCTGAAGCTTTTTCGAGGAGACGGGGATGAATGATCGACGTATTAGAGAAAAGATGATGCCCATGATGCAGCGAGATCTCGATCGGGGAGCGGCTCATCAGAGCCTAGCCGATTTATGAAGGGATCTGAGCAACGATCGGTCGACTGCTAGTGTACAAGAGCATGACACAGGCCTTGAAGTGTCTCTTTCGAGACTACCGACAGGATTACATCAGCCTATGGTCTCAGAACGATCGCTGAAGGAGGGGGCGGCCTCGTGGATGCTGTTCTTCAGTGACCTCTTCTCAGAATCTACAACAGACGAATCACCTAGCTTGCAGAGACTTATACCTATGCATTTTCTGAGGCTGGTGCCAGGTGGTCAGCACAGATATCTTCTTTCAGCAGGCTGTTTTCAATTTGTGCATGAGGGATTCAATTCTCATGACGCTCGGTGCGACTGCGCTTGCTCAAATCTTTGTCTTCGTTCAACAAGCGGCAAGCCTTGTTTTGGCCTGGGGAGACATGCTAACTTACAGCTCTGGGGCCAACCGGATCGATCTGACGTGCGCTGTGCTTTCTACATGCTCTTATGCTACACATTATACTCATGTCTTCGCTTGCTCCTTTCATATCACGTGTTCAGGATTGATGATTGCTAAAGCGTGCCAAAGGTACATGCGATGGTAGATGGAGAGATGGAGTAGTGGAAAGACAGAGACCATAAGCAAGGGTGCAAGGTATAACATGAGCAATCACACGCATAGCGGCGATGGCTTGGCCAGGAGGCTTCAGGACCTAGAATAATCATTAAATCGAGACTGCAGCTGCAAGTATCTATGCTCTGGAGCTTCCATGTGAAGGGGGCTGGATGCGGGATAGAAGCTGGAGGCGCATGCACCAACCTTGAACTGTCCCCAGATCAGGTTCGTCCTCTGCGCTGCTGTCCCAATTGGGTAATCTAGCATGCCGCCGCGGGCCGCGGGCTAGACTACTGTACTACTAGGTACAGTCTTCGCCTACCTGAAATGCTACTCTCCCTCTCAAGACTCTTGGGAATCTGCAGCGAGATTACTTTCGTGAAAGACTTGGCTGTTATAGTGACTGGCGCTCAACTGGATCTAACCTAGCATGAAACCACCTGTGCTCCCATAGGGCAACAATTGAGCTCTCAGCGCCTTTGGCATCGCCCAGAGCGAGGGGAATTGGAACCCAATGGTAACACGAACCCCTCTACTTCAGGTGGCTATTGCATAGGGCAAAAGTGCCAACTCAGATCCCCGGCCTCTGGTGGTACTCCGTATATGCGTAGCACCGTTGCACGTGTGACAAACCGAAGCGTTGGTGTGAGTTCAGAGAAGGATCTCGCGCACTCTTGGAGCATAACATCGTATGCTATAAGAGTATAAAGCCCAGATCACTCCACCTGGTGGCTCAAAATAGCATCTAAGGCATTGTGTTGACAGTTCGACCGATGACAGATGAAACGTGCATTCAAGCAACGACCGTTTCAGGAGGTGGGGACCGGCCTAGCCTACCTAGCATGTGACGTTGACAGTGACCTCAGAAGTTTCCATGTCAGATAAGAGGAGGGGAGTACCGACGTTGTACCACCCTGGAAACATGCAGTACCTTGATGTTCTGCTCATCGAGATTTGCTTTCTTTCAATCGGTAAACTGTGGATTAGGATTGACACCCAGGCTTCAGTGCCCGGCTTATTCAAGGGGAGATCCTAGAAGCAGGACAACAGTAGTGCACGCGAGACTTCCCGATACCGTGCGTACACAGTTATCAGCATACGTTTAGTGGTACTAATGCAAAGTTGATAGCCGAGCTTATTATGGTTCGTGGACGCCGCTCCCGCCATGTTCCAGTGTTGGTTGAAACCATAAACGGAGCAAGACCGGAAATGGGTACCCTCTTCCGAATCATCGATTGTAGGGAGTCTAGGGACTGAGAGAAAGGGGGGAAATTGTGCACGATGACATGGCTTTCCCTTCTCCCAGCGAATGATGATAGGGTGTTGCGAAGCTCGGCGGCACTAGAGGCTAGCTCAGGCTCTAGGCGAGATGGCGAAGAAATTGTCCCTGGCATCAAGTGCTGACACCTGGCACCTGTCAGACGTGTATACGGAAAAGTCAAATAGAACAGATTGTGCATCGCGCAAGAGAGATTGCCTCTGGCCCTGTTGACAATGCGATCGTTTCCATATTGTCCTACTCGGAAAGAAAAGGAGGGTTAAACAAGTGCAACTGCATCTGAGATCCTCAGATGCGATCCTCTTGTTGGATCGGCAGGCTCAAATTAATTGTGGATTGTGCTGCCGGGTAAGGACTTCAGAAGAGGGGCACGTTGAGACGGTTGGAGACCGTTCGGCAATCGCCCGTCACGAGTCATGGTGGTTTGATTAGTCAAAGTAGCCCGCTCACCCACACAGAAGAATACAGTCCCAAATCATGCTAAAGGATCGGATCAAAGATATGTTGTTGTTTTAGGAAATATCCCAGCACAAGTCGGTAGCTTGTCATTCACACATCAATGTCACGGAAGATAGGCTTTCATTCCAGTCCAACGGTGTTGACAGGGAAGAAGATCGAAACGAAACATCCGTCGCATCCGTCGGTGGGGCTGTCTATCTTTACCCTGTGCGAACAAGATCGATCAAGCTGGTTTACTTTTTGTCCGGGCTGAATCGTGAATTCACTTGCCGAGATTGCGCATCTTGATATGCTCCGATGGACTAGCTATGGAGGTGGCTGGTTGCTACAAGTGCAGTACCTTGGGGCGGCTTGAGAAAGAATATCCTGCAAGATCTATATCTGGTCAAGGCTGTCCCAGGAGAACGGACAGGACCTTTATTTGCAGTGGATATCTGTTATTTAGTTGCTGTTCAATTCCATGGATGGTAGAGGATTAAACTTCGAACTTGCCCTACGCCGAGCCTATCGGCCCCCTGTTAAGGAACAGTCTCTATTTACTCTAGAATTATTCTATGTCTGCGATCATAAATACAACCTTACTTCCACAACGTCGTTCCTCACGTTCTCGGGTCCAGGAGCCTGTTATAACATGGCAATCAGGTCTGGATCATCCGCGTGTGTCCCCTGCAGGGTGCGATTCTTGGTACCCATCTGCATGCATGTCTAGCTGACCTCCACTGGCAAGCTAGTACTCAATGTTCCATCGCACAGCAAGCCGCATATTTACGGCACCAAAGGTTCGAGACACCAATCGTTCGAGCCAATGGTAAACCATAGCCTCGACTCCTAGAAACGTAGACAGTGGAATAGTCTAGCAACTACTGCATGTTGTCTTCAAGTTGTCAGCATTGATGCTACTAGGATCGTTTGTAGTAAGGTGTCCGTGCCTGGAGGAGGTTCCCTTTCTCCCCTCCCCACCTTTGGAAGTAACCCCGTCCAGACTCCAGAGACAGGTGGAGTGATGAACCACCCGAACCAATGTAATGCACCCTGAAGTGGACTACTGACTACATTTTCCTTTCATGGCAAGATTGCCCCAGAGCCATCTTTTGGCACTGCTAGGCCGGTGCCGATCAGCCTATTTTGGCCATTGCTGAAAGGGCTTCTCATGACTGAACCTCACTCAAGCTTGCCGATGGGTCTTCAGCTTCTGCCAAAGTCTATTCCTGGCCCTAGGCACTAGAAATGATGGCATAGAGGGGTCACCTTCGGAGTTCAGAACGTGCCTAGGTAAACCTTCCCCACCCAAGCTGCAGTTGCTGGGATCCATGTGTCACTCTTTCACCCTCAGAGTCGCTTCCTTGCCACTGGGTCCATGCCCCATCACTCTTCACTAAACCTTCCATTCCATGCCTTGTCAGACAGTCCGACCCGGTCCGACTCCTTAGCGTAGAAGCTTCTTCATCTTATGCAGCCAGTCTGCTCCCCTTAAAGTGCTATCGTCCGGCACCTGCAGTGCAATATTTCGTGTGCTGCTACCGCCTCTCTTTCTCTCTCTTTCCTCGCTTCCTTGATGGTTGCTTTTCCGCTTTGAGATGACTATGTCATCGGCTCCTAGACTATTATCCTCAGTCGTGATTGACCTCACCTCACAGACAATTTACAATGGTTGAGTTCAAAGGTCGCAGCGAGCCCATCTTCGTTGTTACCGTGGTCTTCCTCGGACTTTCCTTCATTTCCGTCTGCTTACGATGTTTCGTGAGACTGCGACTGGTGCGCGCATTCGGATGGGACGATGCATTGATGGTTCTAGCCATGGTATGTGGCTAGCTGCTATTGCCATCCTCGTGGCTTTCTTCTTGAATCATGCTAATAATGAGTGAATCCACCATAGGCGCTGGAGATTCTATTTGCCTTATGTGGTATCACCGGGTCAGTGTATGGCATGGGCCAAAAACTCGAGTGGCTTGACCAAGACACGTTAGAAACCGCCTTGTTTGTATGTGATCTAAGAATACCCTTTTCCAAACGGCAAAGTAAGTTAATATTTTGCAGTGGTGGTGGTTAGGTCAAACAAGCTATGTCGTGACGGTAGTTGTTGCCAAGGTCTCTATTGCATTGACTCTCTTCCGGCTTACCGTCTCACGGATACACAAGATGCTCTTGTGGTTTGTCATTGCCATCTCGATTGTCGTGGGCCTGGTGTTCTGGTTCATGTTGACTCTAGAATGCCAACCGGTTTCCTACTTTTGGCGACGTTTTCATTCCACTGGGACCTGCATCTCTATCGACTACCTCATCGATATCGCCTACCTGTATAGTGTAACAGCCATGGTCTGCGACTTGATTCTGGGCTTGTTACCTGCTTTTTTAGTCTGGAACTTGCAAATGAGTACAAGAACTAAGGCTGCGCTAGCAGGGATTTTGAGCATGGGTTGCGTGTGAGTACTCTTGGATAAACCTTCATGCCTGATAATCAGCCATGAACTAATGAGCCGATAGAGCCAGCGCAGCTGTGATTGTACGCATACCTTTTCTGCCTACTTACAACGACAAGGAGTTCCTCTGTAAGTTTCGATTTCACCCGACACGAGAGCCACACAAATTACTTATTAGAACTTTCTTCAGACGCTACAGCGCAGATCTCGATCTGGTCCAATGTCGAGGCTGGCCTTGGCATCACGGCAGGGTGTCTTGTAACCCTGCGTCCTCTCTTTCGCTGGCTTGGTGACGCCAGCTATGGCGCCACACGTAGCAAGAAAACAGGGGGTAGCATACCTCTTTCGAGCTCGATCGGCCATGCAACCCACCCCTCACAGAGCAACGCGACGAAATACTGGCGGCCGGATCTCGATCCGGAAGAATCTCAGGGCGTGGTCACGACTATACAAACCTCGGCTGGGAGCCCGCACAGTAGTCAGGAGGACCTCAACCCGAAGCCTAAGCGCATGAATGGGGTCAATATACACAAGTCTTTTGTGGTGACTTCAGACATTGTATAGGATCTCTCCTGCTACTGGCACCTTACTTACGATATATTTAATTACCGTTATAATATTTCTGTGTGTCTGCACGACCTCCTGTTAGTACGTAGTCGGTATACCTTACTCGGACAAGCCCTAGTCTTTTACCTTCATAGAATAACAATCAAGCATACAGCCAAGATTACTAAGACAGCTATGTAGGAGAGTGCCTGGGCGTCGGCATGTAAGCTTCCGAAAGCTACTGAGCATATCGATTAGTGCATGCCTTTGCAATCGACGGCCAGTTTGGGGGGGGGGGGCCTAGACTGATGCATATATTCTTCATTCGCACACATGTGATGTCATGTTTCGTCCAAAAGCTTCTCCAAGGCTTCGCCTCTGCCGGTCTCGAAAAGGTAAAAATGCCGAATACCTCAGCATTTCTTGACGCACTCGGTTAACTTGATACAAGCAGCTGCCCTGATTGGAGGAGTGGATCGATTGAACCAATTCAACCTTGAATTGAACCGACTTGCTCCCAACTACTGGAACCAACTGAACAAGTGATAACGTACTAAGGCATGGGTACTGGGGTCGCTTCCAGTGTGCATTTTGGCCAACGCAAGTCCCTTGGGATCGACTCTCTCTCTCTCAACTCGGTCTTGAATTCAAACAAACATAGTATGGGAGCAGATGCTCCAAGACGCTCTAGATGAATCAGACCTTGAGAGCATTCGTTTTAGGTCTTACTTCCCGAAGGATGTACCGGGAGGTCATCTCCTGCGCCTTGTTATGTCACGGTTCCTATCGGGCCTTGGGAAGGCGAATCTGATCGGTGGAGACCACCCCCTGTGCAAGCAGAGAATTCTGCCTCAATGTTGTAGCCTGCCTCGGACTTGCCACGGGTATAAGAGTAGGGCTGCTCTTCGGCGCTCAGAAGTCTTTGCGGCATTGTCTTTATCACGGTCTACCATCCAAGCTTGGAATTCCCCTGCGATAGGTCATTGGTCTTTCAACCCAAATGTAAATTAAGAACAACCTAAAATTTCATGGCTAGTCCCAGGCGCGACTCAGTTTCGCCATCCCAGGTGTTCTTGGGCGATGCAAGCATAGACAAAGAACGTATTTCCAGCGGCAATCCCGATCTCGTGGGCTGGGATGGAGATCATGATCCCGTACGCTTCGGCTTCCCGAAAAGAATTGTAGGGGGTTCCTGTTCCTGCGCTAACGGCTTTACAGAATGCTACTCTCGGATGCGCCCCGACAACATGAATTCCGGCTTCAAGGTGGTTTTTCTCGCCTTCGGAGAAAAAGCAGGTAGAACACGGGTTTCACGCGCTTGTGATAGATGTCATCGGCAAAAGGTAAGCTATCTACTCAGTGCATGATGTCTATCAGCCAAGCCTCATGGTGCATAGATAAAATGCGAAGCGGCCCAACCCCGGTGCAATTGGTGCACTCATCAGGACGTCCCCTGTCTATATGATAGGCAACGCAAGAGACGTCGCAATTATATGTGAGTGGATTCCTTATATCAATACCACGGCTTCTTTCAACTGAGGGTCATTGGAGTGATTCATGGGGAGATTCCCTACTTGGCTCCTCAAGTGTGCGCTGACGTGACCGTCTTTAGGCAGCCACGAGAAAATGCTAGCAGCTCTCAAAACGGTCAGTTCGAATTTCACTTCACAAGCTTGCCCAAGCACAGAGCACGAGTTGTCTCGTTTAGTTTCAAGTACCGCAAAAATTGAGTGTCACATTAGAACCTCATACCAATGCGTCTGATAATGATGTGGTGGGAGATTCTACCCTACCGCCTAGTAAACCTCGAAATCACTCTCCGGCGCACTTGAGTGGCAAAGTCCCTATGACTGAAGGGAGCGCCTCGTTGTCATCATCTTCAGACACCATACCTGCATTATCGGGCACGCAGGTTAGCCAGCCTTCCAGACGATCATCACCGACCATTGAGTCTTCTAACTCTCCACCCTGGGAGAATGTTGCACAATTTGGCCCCGGTCTGAATCATGAATCGAGTTCAATCGACCGAACAAGTCTACCTGAGCATGATGTGATCAAATCCCTGGCCGTTGACTTCTACTCTACGATTTATAGCTCCATATTCCCGACACTAGACCCCGTTCTCTTCGACCAAAATGTATCGTATGCTTATGAGACTGATCCCCGTGGGCGAGGGGCTAGGAAGTCTGATTGTCTCTGCGTGTGGGCTTTCCTTGCATTCTATTCATGTCACTACATCAATTAGACGCAGGCCATCGGACATCGCCAACTGAACGTTTGTGCGTTTTGCATTATATTGAGACTTCAATGCACATAGGACAAGAGCCCGACTTAGACCTGCTGCAAACATCAGTCATCACGATTGTCGTCTGTCTTTTCTCGGGAAAACTTCGAATGGCTGTCATGTGGAGCACTTTCGCCTCTCGAGTAGTACTCCTTCTTGGAGGCCATTCCAAGGCATGCTTCGAGCGCGCGTTGCTCTTCACCAATTCGAGTGAGCTAGGGACTAGGTTAGACGCGCATCTTCGAAACCTTTCCTGGTCGTGCTATCATTTCGATAAAGAACTTGGTCGGCGCACCGAACAGCCACCGTTTCTATCTGAACACAATTGCGACCTGAGTCTTCCTGGAGGCTACAAGAATTATGTTCATTTACCATGGAAGCAGACAGCTACTCACAGCCTCTATTTCCCGGCGATCTCCGGTTAACGGAGATCCGCTGCCGGGCTTATACTGCTTTGTACTCTCGACGAGCCCTCGAAAAAAGTGATGGGGAGATTCTGCAGGCCATCTGAACATTAGATGATCAGCTGGAAGAATGGCGAATGGCCGTTGCACCTGATCATCGTCCGAAGCTTTTCTTCTCTGCGGCCGCCGGTATTGGCCGGGATGGCGCAGACATGCGGGCGGTCATGCTTCGTCTCGAATTTCACCACTGTCTGGCTTATGTCCATCTGGCAAGCACTCGCTGCAAGTCATGGAGTCTCCGGCATAAAGTAGAGCTGGAGGGAGTCGGTACAAGCTTAGAAATCTCTGTGTCTGCCTGCTGTTCATCCTTGCAATTTCTGCTAGCAGTGAAGCAGGTTTTGAAACCTAAGTAAGGTCTTCTGGTTCGCAATCTGAACAAAGGCCTACTACCCGTCCGCTGATTATTGGATTCTTATCTCTCGCTAAGTCTTCTAACCTGAGGTCTTTCAGGCTCGTCATATTCTACCCCATAATCGCTATGCAAACAATTCTCTGGAATACCCACCAAATCCAAGCGCACAAACTGCGACGGACGATGTTGTCCTCATGAGTCAGGTCTCGCAGTTCCTTAATGACCTAGCCACACAAGCTGCACGGCAGATTGAGGGACACGGATCTGAGGACCGAGCTTGTACCTTCATTGCGGACCTTGAACGCGCGGCACACCAGTCAGTATTGAGAAGTGCCCCAGCCACTATCAGCCGGTAGAGCTCTGATGTTGCGGTCTGAACACGCCAAACGTGAGCTCGGGAGGACTCTGTGCTCCATTGGAGGTTGTCCTCCTCAGCAAGCTCATCGGGAGGCTGTTCGCCGCGCCCAGCCTTGCTCACTTTAGGTATTTATGGCTACGACTCAGTAGTAGATATATCGTATCGATCTACAGCAACCCGAGTGGTTATCCATGCACACGACAATCTAGCGTGGGGAACGAATCAAGTCGGCATGTTGTGGTCAAGCCTGAGGATGTATTGAGAGTCTGTTGGCTTGTCTGGCTGCAATCTACTCGTTACAGATCAGGATTGATACATCCAAAGTACAGTAGTCACATTTTTGGGCCAAACATCAGCATGCAGTTATCGATGCCTAGTCAGCGCAAGTGTTGCATATACCCCGGAAGAGACATATGGAGGATTGAGAAATGTGGTCTATAGCTGCCCTGGGCGGCTCGCAGGGCAGTCAGATATACCCCAGCCTGGTACTTTGGACCCTTACTGTTGTACTGGTTGCAGAGAGAACAAAGCTGTGTGGAGGTCAATGGATCATGGATGGGAATTGCATCATCTCTTATCAAAGCGGCCGGGAAAATCCCAGCTCCGTGCGGGCACGTGGCGGCCAATCGTAACCACCGACGGGGGTTTCCGTACCTCCAGCTCCCGGCGGCGAGGAAATCCCCAAATTTATACCGTTGAGGTGGCTTCTTCGTGCTTTCCTCTTCATCTCTCGTTGCGACAGCGGCTCGACATCAGCAGCCTGGATTCCATGGTTTAGGCGTCTCATCACCTATGCTTACCTACTGAGAGGCCTTTTCCAACTTTCTAAGTTCGCGTCGTTTGACCCGCGTCGTGGTCATCCGAGTGTCATCATGTTAGTTTCGCCTTCTTTGGCCTGCATTTATCCTCATTCATCTACTAACACGCATGTCTGACCATAGGGCGAAACTCGTGGATGATCACCAGATCAAATATGCTTCGCTTCACAATCCCCTTCCCACACAGCTACACACCTACGTCTGGCCTTTCCTGGTTATCTGGCCGGCGTTTTTCGCTTTCTACCTGTCTCCTGAGCGATACGATACCTACATTCAAGGCCAGGAATGGACCTTCGTTTTTTCTGGCTCGATCATCACGGCGCAGTCACTCCTTTGGCTGATGACAAAATGGAATATTAATATCCAAACCCTATTTACCGCTACCAAGGCCCGATCGGTCGATTCTGCCCGTCTTATCAAGGTCATCCCGGCCGCCAACGCTGGCTCCGCTGAGATCTGTCCGTTGGTCGTTGACACTCGTGGTGGAAAGAAGACGATCTCGTTCTTGTTCCAGAAGCGCCGTTTTCTTTTCAATGAAGAGACTAAGTCCTTCGCTCCTCTGTCGTACGTTCTTGATGCAGAGCCCAAGCCTGCACTCAAGTTCTTTCAGAAGAGCCAGGGCTTCACGACCAAGGAAGAAATTGAGCGCGTTCGCCACCACTATGGAGATAACACTTTCGACATTCCCGTTCCCGGTTTCGTTGAGCTCTGGAAGGAGCACGCAGTCGCGCCTTTCTTCGTTTTCCAGATCTTCTGTGTCGGTTTGTGGATGCTGGATGAATACTGGTACTATTCCTTGTTCACGCTCTTCATGCTCGTCATGTTCGAGAGCACAGTCGTCTGGCAACGGCAGAGGACCCTCAGTGAGTTCCGGGGTATGAACATCAAGCCTTACGATGTTTGGGTCTACCGTGAGAAGAAGTGGCAGAAGATCACCAGTGACAAGCTCTTGCCCGGTGACCTTATGTCTGTCAACCGTACCAAGGAGGATGGCGGTGTTGCCTGTGATATTCTACTCATCGAGGGCAGCGCCATCGTCAACGAGGCTATGCTTTCTGGGGAGAGCACACCTCTCCTGAAGGAATCAGTTCAGCTCAGACCCGGAGACGACCTGATTGAGCCTGATGGATTGGATAAGAACGCTTTCGTTCACGGAGGTACTAAGGTCCTGCAGATTACCCATGCAAACACCGCCCCCGAGGATCTCGTTTACAAGAATGATTCGAGCATTCTCCCTACTCCGGATGCTGGCGCGCTCGGTGTCGTCGTCAAGACCGGATTCGAGACCAGCCAGGGTAGTCTCGTGCGCACAATGATCTACTCTACTGAACGCGTCTCTGCCAACAATGCGGAAGCTCTGCTTTTCATCCTGTTCCTTCTCATTTTCGCCATCGCCGCCTCTTGGTACGTCTGGCAGGAGGGTGTTGCGCAGGATCGCAAGAGGTCAAAGCTCCTTTTGGACTGTGTCTTGATCATCACCAGCGTCGTCCCTCCCGAACTCCCCATGGAACTCAGTCTTGCCGTCAACACCAGCTTGGCTGCCTTGAGCAAGTTCGCCATCTTCTGCACGGAGCCTTTCCGGATTCCTTTCGCTGGACGCGTCGATGTTGCCTGCTTTGACAAAACCGGCACACTGACCGGTGAAGATCTTGTTGTTGACGGTGTTGCTGGGCTTACTCTCGGTCACGCCGGTGCTAAGGTTGAATCGGACGGCGCGCACACCGAGCTGGCTAAGGGTGGTAACATCGGACTCGACACTACGCTTGTACTCGCCAGTGCTCACGCCCTGGTCAAACTCGATGAGGGTGAAGTGGTTGGTGACCCCATGGAGAAGGCTACTCTGAAGTGGCTCGGTTGGACCCTCGGCAAGAACGATACCTTGACTGGTAAGGCCACGCCTGCCACTGGTCCCGTTGTTCCCGAGTCCGTTCAAGTTGTGAGGCGGTTCCAGTTCTCTTCTGCGCTTAAGCGCCAGAGCACGATTGCTACTGTTGTCCTTGATGATCGTAAGGCCCACAAGAAGGTCAAGTCTACCTTCGTGGGTGTCAAAGGTGCTCCTGAGACTATCCGTACCATGCTTGTTGATACTCCTCCGGGTTACGAAGAGACTTACAAGTATTTCACCCGTAACGGTGCCCGTGTCCTTGCTCTCGCTTACAAGTATCTTTCCCATGAGTCCGAATTTTCTCGCGGACGCATCAACAACTACACCCGTGAGGATATTGAGTCTGATTTGACCTTTGCCGGCTTCCTCGTCTTGCAGTGCCCTCTTAAGGACGATGCCATCAAGGCGGTCCGCATGCTTAACGAGAGTAGCCATCGTGTTGTTATGATCACCGGTGACAACCCGCTGACTGCCGTCCATGTTGCGCGTCAAGTCGAAATTGTGGACCGTGAGGTTTTGATCCTCGATGCTCCTGAGAATGACAAGTCTGGAACAAAGCTGGTCTGGCGGAGCATTGATGACAAAGTTAACATTGATGTCGATCCTACCCAAGCCCTCGACCGTCGCATCCTGGACACCAAGGACATCTGTGTCACGGGCTACGCTTTGGCTAAGTTCAAGGGACAGAAGGCCTTGCCCGATCTTCTTCGCCACACTTGGGTTTACGCCCGTGTCTCTCCTAAGCAGAAGGAAGATATTCTCCTGGGTCTTAAGGATGCTGGTTACACGACTCTGATGTGTGGTGATGGTACCAACGACGTTGGTGCTCTGAAGCAAGCTCATGTTGGCGTTGCCCTTCTGAACGGTTCCCCTGAGGATCTTCAAAGAATCGCCGACCATTACCGAACTACCAAGATGAAGGAAATCTACGAGAAGCAGGTTGGTATGATGCAACGTTTCAACCAGCCCGCTCCTCCTGTTCCTCTTCAGATCGCCCACTTGTACCCCCCTGGTCCCAGCAACCCCCACTACCAGAAGGCTATCGATCGTGAAGCGCAGCGCAAGGGCGCCGCCAATCCAGGTGCGCAGGCCCAGGCAGAAGCAATTCCGACCATTACCTCGCCTGGCGCCCAAGCCCTACAGCAGTCCAACGCCAATTTGACCCCCGAACAACAGCGGCGGCAACAGGCGGCGGTGTCTGCTGCTGGATTCGCTGACAAGCTCACCACGTCCATGATGGAACAAGAACTCGATGACAACGAACCCCCGACTTTGAAGCTCGGAGACGCCTCGGTCGCTGCTCCGTTCACCAGCAAGCTTGCCAATGTTATCGCCATCCCTAACATTCTTCGTCAGGGACGCTGCACCCTTGTTGCGACCATCCAGATGTACAAGATTCTCGCCTTGAACTGCTTGATCAGTGCATACAGTTTGAGTGTCATTTACCTGGACGGCATCAAGTTTGGTGACGGTCAAGTCACCATCAGCGGTATGCTGATGAGTGTCTGCTTCCTTTCCATCTCCCGTGCGAAGGTTAGTTACTTCTGATGCATACAACCCTTTATCTTTGCTTTACTAACTCCCGGAACTAGTCTGTGGAAGGCTTGTCCAAGGAACGTCCGCAACCGAACATCTTCAACGTCTACATCATCGGCTCTGTGCTTGGTCAATTTGCTATTCACATTGTTACCTTGATCTATCTGTCGAACTACGTCTACTCGATCGAACCGTGAGTTACTCCATCTACTACGAACAACAAGGTTGCAGAGAAATGCTAATTGGTAATAGGAGACAATCCGATATTGATCTAGAGGGAGAGTTCGAGCCGTCGCTTCTTAACAGTGCCATCTACCTGCTTCAGCTCATCCAGCAGATTTCGACCTTCTCGATCAACTACCAGGGCCGTCCCTTCAGAGAGTCGATTCGTGAGAACAAGGCGATGTATTGGGGACTGGTAGCTGCCTCTGGGGTTGCTTTCTCCTGCGCCACGGAGTTCGTTCCGGAACTGAACGAGAAGCTGCGCCTTGTTCCCTTCAGCACTGAGTTCAAGGCTACTCTGACTGTCCTGATGGTCTTCGACTACGCTGGATGCTGGATCATTGAGAACGTGCTCAAGCGACTGTTCAGTGACTTCCGGCCAAAGGATATCGCTATTCGCCGGCCGGATCAGCTCCAGCGTGAGGCGGAGCGCAAGCGCCTGGAGGCGTTGGAGCAGCAGACAGAGACAAAGGCATGAGGAGGCTTAGAAACAATTTAGGGTGTTGGGTACATTAGAGAGACCTCTATGATTATGTCCTGTCTAGATATATACTATTATGCTGATTGGTGAGTAGGGCCCTTATGGCCATAGGAATGTGTTCATAGAACAAATGAAGTCATAGAAGAATTTTGCGTGGTGTCTTCTGCATTATGGATTGACCTAGTGATTGAGACACTTGCTTAATGAGTAAGTGTAAAACTCAATGGAATGTGACAGAAAGGATCATTCTTCAGTCGTGTAGAACCATGAATTTGTGCCTCAGGTGTGCAAGCCGGCCGGCGAACGATAAGCCAGTTTCCGGCTCCGTCTGTCACCTTCCCTCCTCCGTTCCTCGTTCCCCCCCCCCCCTTTGAAGCTCCACCTTCGGGCAAGGCTGCCGCTGGACTGACGCTCTCTCCCTCTCACAACCGTTCTCCCCTCCCATTCACCCCCCTTTTGGCGACAACTCACTTCTCCTTCTTTTACTGCTCCTTCTTGTTCCTCTCCTTTTCCTTCGCTCCACGTGGGCTTCCGTCTCTCATGCGCTCATAGTCTCCAGCCAAAATGTCCCGGAGGACGCTGGGTGGAGGTCGTGTTCTAGGCCCCGCGAACGCTCGTTCTCCATCCGCTGCTGCGATCCCGTCTCCGCAACTGAACCATCCAAGGAACCTTGTCTTATCGCCCTCCGCCAGCAGTCTTTCCCTCAGTTCCCAGGCGTCCACTTCTCAATTCTCGTCCGAAGCCCAAGATCTGACCTCTCGCATCTCCCTCGAAAATGCCTCCACCGCGATACCTGCCGCTCCGGCGGCTGCCGGAGCTCAGCTGGTCTGTCCGATTTGCAGTGAAGAGATGGTATGGCAGCGGTGCTTTCCCTTCCCTCCATCGAGTGCCGGCAGACTGACCCGAGTTTGGAACTCTTAGGTGACACTACTACAATTGAACAGGTACTTCAACGCTCGCTACCTTCGTTGATCGGCGCCACACAGCTAATCCCATGTCCCTCCTGCTCTCCGCTAGACACATCGATGACGTACACCAAAACCTGGAAGATGATCGGCAGGACGAAGTCAAAGATTGGTTCAAGACGCAGATGGACAAAGCGAAGCGGTTCCAACCTCTTGCGGTGTTGAACCAGAAACTCAAGGGGCTCGACGTGTTCGAATCGAACGAGAACCTCCAGCTGCCCTTCGCGGGGCCGAGTCGCGCGTCGTCGTCCGGCCCGACCGCATCAACCCATTCACATGCGAATCATCCGCCGCCACCGCCGTCGTCGTCGTCGGAGAGACCGCTCGATCCAGATGATATCATTACGAAGGAACATTGGCAGGGTCGGACTCTGTACGACTCGTGCTTGGAGCCGTCGTGCGGGAAGCGGCTGAACACGACGAATGGCTGCGTCAACTGTCGCAAGTGCGGGAAGCTGTTCTGCGAGGAGCATACGATGTATCAGATGAAGCTGTCGAGATCGGCGCAGCATGAGCCGGTCCGGGGTCTGTGGTGTCGGGTTTGTGAGACTTGTTACAAGTCCAGGGAGGGGTATAACGATCATACTGGTAATCTTCGACTCCTGGTGGTAATGGGAGCGGGAATCTCGGTAGGCTGACTGGCTTGGAAATAGGCTTGACGCGAGACCGGATGGATGAATTCAAGGCTGTCCGGAAATATACGGTCGACAAGGCGCTGCTGGAGGTTTCGCGTCTGGAGAAACGTCTGACGCGACTCACACAATTGTTGGCGAGCTTGCCGGTGGATCAGATCCAATCGAACGCCAACAAACTGTGGTCGCTTTCGTGGCAGGGCGACCAGCGGAAAGCTCTGGAGCAGACTATCGTCAGCTGGCAGGACGATGCAAGCGTCCTCCGCTGTCCCTTTTGCCAGCAGGAATTCTCCAGCTACTCTTTCCGCAGACATCATTGCAGAACTTGCGGACGGGTTGTATGCGGTGATCCTGCAACGGCCTGTTCCACCGAAGTTCCCTTGAGTATATCGTCCCGTACGCTGCCATTGTGAACCGTCATTGGGGAATACTAGCTTACAGAGATTGATGTCGGCAGAGTCGGCAGTCGCTACCACACCCGCGGAGAAGTCAGATCGCGCCGGCGTGATCAATGTAGATGTCAGGCTATGCAAGGACTGCCGATCGACCTTGTTCGATCGACGCGATTTTGAGGCCGAACTCCTCCGGAAACCCCCAGCTGTGAGAGCTTATGAGAACCTCACACAGTTCGAGAGAGGCATTCGGCTCTTGTTACCGAAGTTTCAGAAGCTCCTAACAACTTTGCAGTATGTACACTATAGCAGTCTGCGCTGGTCTTCGAAGGGAGTCATTAACTTTTGTGGGCAGAGATCCTCGACGACCGCCCTCATCAGCACAAATCGCGGAGGCTTCCAAGGTCCGTAAACGACTCACGGATTCGTTCGCCCAGTATGATGTCGCGGCCAGACGGATCCGGGATATGCCGACGGAGTCGCCCACACAACAGCGCCTGCAGAAGGCCATCTATCAGCAGGCAAGCAATTTCTTGCATCTACATATGTTGCCGTTGAAGACGCTTCCCAAGCTGCTCAAACATGCCACTCCCAACGGAAATGGACGACTGCCTGGCTCCAGTAGTACCCCTGGGAGTCCGAGTCAAGGGCCCATCGGCAGCCCTCGACGTCCCGAGTCCGCTCTGGCGTCCATCAAATATGGTAGCATCGCAGCTAGCGCCAGCACGAGCAGCCTCGCCAGTGACACGAGCAGCGCTGTCTCCGCGCTGGAGGCGGAGGAGAAAGCCCTCCGGGAGCGGCTGATTGTGCTCGAGGAACAGAAGTTCTTCGTGTCGGAGATGATCGCCGACGCGAATCGACGCCGCAAGTTCGATGAGGTCAGCAGTCTGGCGATGAATGTCGAGGATCTCACGCGGGAGATAGACCGGGTCAACGGGATGCTTGATGGATTAGACTTTGAGGGTGTCTACACCGGCAATCGTCAGCCGGGTAGTTGATGGTGGTGTGCTATACTCCACGGTTGACGTTTTTTTCCTTTCGATTCTTTACTACAATTGAATTCAAGCCCAGTGCAGGCACGGCGTTGTGGGTCATTGTCAGTTTCTGCGTTGAAGTTGCATAGCATGGGCGTTTTGTATGTATGTATGTATGTATGTATGAAGTGTTATGCATGCGTGGTTGGATGACGAACGGGGAGTCCCATCGAATTGAATGATTGGATTGTTCATTGAGTGGAGTACAGCGTAGTCTAGGTATTCTACTCCGTATTGCGTGCAAGGTTGGGAAGACTCGGAGCAGCTTTGCAAGGGAGCAGCAGCCGTTGCATGGCATGGCATGGCAGTTGCAGCGACATTTGCCTTTTTTGACATGTCCTCCCCCTCCTTTCCCCTCATCCCGACATTCTCTCGAATTTGGAACCCTATGTTCTGCTCGGAAGTAGTAATCAGTAATCACCCGCCCTCCTCTCCCTCCTCCCACCAAAGCAATCCATCCAATTCAGCAATCACGACCCCAATCTCTGTCTCTGAAAAAGTACCCGCTGCACCATAGCACTGCACTGCACAGTACTGTAGCTACAGTACGTGCCCTAATAAGAAAATCAAGCACGCCACACGGAGCCCCCCGGACCCGAGGCCCCCCGACTCCCTTCCCCCAATCCGCAATCCGATTTCCAACGGCAACCACACCCGCCCAAATCCCAACCCAAGCTAAACTAGTACTCATAGCACGGCAACCGGCCCACGATCAAACCCATGATCCATGCTCGAGCTCGAGTTCTTCCGGGGAGGCAATTCGAGGGGAATCGAGTAGCACGAACCACACCCCCCTCCCCCAAGTTCCAACCAGTGATTAGGGCACACGTGGCCTGGCAGATTGCGGGTCTATTGCTTGCTTGCTGTATTGTACTGTACACTTCACTGATTCTGCTGCTGCTGCTGCTGCTGCTGCTGCTGCGTGCAGGCATTGGAGAAAATAGCGGGGTTGGTGATGGTGTTCTTTCTCCTGTCTAGTCGGGCAGGGAAGCGAATTCCCCATGAGGCTAAATGTGGTCTCTATCCGGGGGTTGTGGGTTGGTTGGTGAAGTGAAGGGTTGGGGCTGGGTTGGGGTTGGGTTGGGTTGCGTAGGGTAGTAGGGTAGTAGGGTAGCCGGGGTGGGTTGGTGACCACGTTCTGTCCTTTTTTCCTTCTTCTTCTTCTTCTTCTTCTTCTTCTTTTTTCCCTTGGGTCTTCTTTCTTCTTCACTTGTTTCATTATTGTTTTTGAGGGTACATGCTTGATGTCCCATGCTTATTGTTACTGATCAATTGGATCCCGAATCTGGATTCAGTGAATTAGTTATACATTCCGTGTATAAGCGAGTTCGTACTCGACTTCAATTTGCGGAACTTTTGACTCGGACGCATCGCGCTGGCTGCTGGGGTTGTTTGGCTGTGCTGCTGCTGCTGCTGCTGCTGCTGCTGCACTGTCGCTGCTGGCTGCGACTCGCTGCCTTATATTGTCGGCAGTGCTGTGCTGTGCTGTGCTGTGCTTGGAGAGGGGTGAGGGTGTGTGAGGTGTACTGTACACCCATCCATCAACATCATCTGCGGGGCTGCGGCTTGGGCTTGGGCTTGGGCTTGGGAGCGTGGACAGGCGTATTGGGGAGAGGGGAAAGGCGTTGCAGGTGTTTTTACCATCAATGCTTGCTCTTGCCCCCTTCTTCTGTTCACGAGATTGTGAAGCTCGCTATCCGGAGACGATCTGGGGTACTTACGACTAGCAACAGCTCAGCTTTGAGGGGTGAGGGTTGTAGTCTGTGGTTACTTACCCACTTGCTTGTAGGTATCTGTGCCTACGTCCGGTTGGGTTAGGCGCTCCTCTTGTTGTTGGGGTGCCTCGCCTCTTTTCTTGCCTCCTCTTGTTGTGATCTCGACTACTTTGCGTTCTGACTCAGGTCTGTCTACAGGGTGTATATCGCACGGTGTTACATACCACGACTACCCTAAAGCCACACTACGCTCTACACCCTAACATACACCCCAACAAGCAAAAATGGCCGATCCTCCGCCCCCCAAAGACAAACTCGAAGTCGCCCTCTTCCTCGCCGCCACGCAAGGCTACGACACCATCGTCACCCTCCTGCTGGGCACCCCAGGCGTCAAACTCGAGAGCCGTGACGAGCTCGGCCGCACCCCGTTCTTCTGGGCCGCCGCGCACGGCCACGACAAGGTCCTGCAACTCCTGCTGGGCACGGGGGCTGTCGACCCCAATGTGCGCGAGACGGCCCGCGGCGGGCTGTCGGCGCTGAGCGCCGCGGTCGAGGGCGGGCACGCGGCCGTCGTGACCCGGTTGCTCGGGGTCGGGGTTGACGTGCAACCGGCGGATGGGCAGGGGAAGACGGCGTTGATGTATGCCGTCGGGAGTATTGAAGATCCCGGGGTTCGTCTGGCGATTGTCACCGCGCTGGTGGGGGCCAAGGCGGAAGTGAATGTTCGGGATGAGGCGGGGAGGGTGCCGTTGGGCGTCGCGGTGGAGAAAGGGGATGCGGCGGTTGTCGGGGTTTTGGTCAAGGCCGGGGCGGATGTGAATGTGAGGGATGGGAAGGAGGAGAATGGGGTCAGGCCGTTGGAGGTGGCAGTTGAGAAGGGGGCTGTTGACGTTGTAGAGGTTTTGGTGGATGCGCAGGCGGATCCGAATGCGGGGTTGAATTGTGAAGAAGAGGGGGAGGAGGGTGAAGGAGAAGCTGCTGCTGCTGCTGCTCGGGCACCGCCGTTGTCGGTGGCGGTGGAGAAAGGGAATGAGACGATTGTACAGTTGCTGCTAAAGGCTGGCGCGAACGCCGATGCTAAAGACCTGGCTGGCCGCGCACCGCTGTCGGTGGCGGTTGAGAAAGGGAATGAAACGATTGCGCAGTTGTTACTCAAGGCTGGCGCGAATCCGGATGTTAGGGATGAGGACGGGAGGCCGCCGTTGCTGTGGGCTGTGGAAAAGGGCTCCGAGGAGGTCGTGCGGTTGCTGATCGCCTCGCGGAGAATCAATCTTGATCTCGTGGATGATGCAGGCCGATCAGCTCTCTGGTGGGCTGCGCGGATGGGTTTGCTCTCGATCGTGCGGTTGCTTGTTCGGCACGGGGCCGACTTGGAGATTCGACCGACAGAGCCTGAGGATGCACAGCAGCAGCAGCAACAACAACCTTGCGGGAGTGCCTTATATCAAGCCGGTCGACGCGGTCATTTTGAGGTGGTCAAGTATCTGCTGAAGAAGAAGGCGGACATCAATGCCCCAGCTCGGGGCCTGTCCCTTCTGATGTCCTTGGTCTTGTATGATCGGGGCAAGCGGGGACGGAAGATGATCGAATTGCTCCTTGACGCAGGGGCTGATGCCAACACCAAGGATACCTCCGGGCGAACGATTCTAGACATCGCAGCAGCCGATGGCGATGTTGAGCTGGCTAAAATCGCCCTCGACAGCGGCGTAGGACTCGAGGCTACGGCAGAGGACGGCATGACGGCGTTGCACCGGGCGGTCATCAACCGCCACGACCACATCATGGACATGCTCCTTGACTATGGTGCCGACCCGGAAGCCCAGGACGGCAATGGGGATACGCCTCTACACTTCGCAGCCGCCAGCGGTCGGCGGAATCTGTTCGAGTTGTTCCTGGAGAAGTCGCCCGATATCAACGTGACCAACTTCTCCGGTGAGAGCCCCCTGCACAAGGCCGTCCAACGAGGCCGGCGGAAAATGGTCGAGTATATGGTCCGCAACGATGCGGACCTCGAGGTGCGTGACGACTACAAGCGAACGCCGTTGCTCAAGGCAGTGGGGGCGGAGAACCACGTTATGAGATTGCTGGTCAACAAGGGAGCTCATGTGCATGCGAAGGACATGTTCGGGCAGACGGCGCTGCATATGGCGGCAGAGGCCGGGCTGGCTGACGATGTGTACTTCTTGCTGGGCCATGGCTTGTCGGCGAGTCTGCCGGATGATCGTGGTCGCACCCCCAAGGAGCTTGCAGCTAAGAATGGAAGGAAGGATGTTGTCGCCCTCTTTAAGCGGATGGAATTGATGGCGCCGAAGCAGGAGGAGGATGAGGATTCCTCGGAAGGATGAGTATATCGGCTGCGGGAGGAAGGTCATTGGAGTTGTGGATCCTGTGTACGTATTATCTTGAGTTTGGATTAGCGCATGTACAGGTTGTCTGTGAGACAAATGCACTGTACCTTTAAGCGACGATGGATATCGTCATATAGACTAGAATGGAGGGTTCGGCGGCTGCGTCCGACCCATGGGCAGCAGTTAGGAGTTTTCCGCCTTGTAGTACAAAACAAACTGATCATCGACAATGAGCATATAAACGCAGAAAAAAGAAGGCTCACACATCAATGGTAAGTCAGAGCAGAGAGATGGTGAGGAGCAAAAAGTGAAGCCCAACGCGGGGGTTGAACCCGCAACCTTGAGATTAAGAGTCTCACGCTCTGCCGATTGAGCTAGCCGGGCTGGTTGTTGAAGGTGTTATAGATCTTTCGCTTTATAGAAGGCGTCAATGCCTTCAAGGCAACCAAAATACTTGTACTGAAAAGCAAGAGAGCCGAGCGTCGACTCTGCCGTAGAACTCTTCTCTATAAAGTACGCTCCAGTTAGCAATTGTTCCCTATTGGCAGCGTAGGATACACCACCAAACTCACAAGGTGGGTATTTGTTACGTTTCAGTTGGTGATTCGGTCCCGTGAACTATTAGGCTCGTTTTATCTCGGGTAAAAGACACAAAAAAAGGAGAAGAGAAGCTGATCTGGAACCAATCAAAAATGAAAGCCCAACGCGGGGGTTGAACCCGCAACCTTGAGATTAAGAGTCTCACGCTCTGCCGATTGAGCTAGCCGGGCTGATTTGTTGAAGAGGGTTACACCGGATAGCTTCATGATCGCCAGGTGGAATGTGTAGCCTTCACCATTGTGTCCCGACCGGGTGTTGGGGTGGCACTGGGAACTATTCAGCGGATGTGACACTCGTTATGTGTATCTTCAAGACTATAGATCTTGGGGCATCTCAGTTGGTGTTCGGGTCTTACCTGGTCGACTGGCTGCGCGTCAACGCTGGGCTGGCGAGCGGATGGTTGCCCAGGTGGCAACCATGGGAGCGGCTCGATTGACGCCAGGTCTGAGTGATGTACTTGGTATAGTAGGTACACCAGCTGTGCTAGTCAGGATTTGGATGGCTCCACATTCATGTGCAGCTGTGTCACTTGCTGTGTCTTGTTCCAGGGGTGTAAGAGTTGGAATACCGAGCGCAGCATCGACAATGTCTTGTTGGGCTGGGCTCGGGTTGTATGAACTTGACGGCCTCGTCGTCAGTTGCTCTGGTGCGTCTGTCTCGTCATGGTGTGTGACTTTTGTGCGTGTGATGGCATCTGTGGTGTTTCTGCTGTGTTCTTGCTTTGTATGTACCGTCGGTGTAGGCCACGTTTCGGATTGTCGGCCATGGGATGGGCCTAGCCGAGTGCATGCACATAGATATATCTTGCCCGTTAGACACGAACGGGTAAAGACCGGGCTCGAGAAGGATGAACCGTCGTAGTGTAACCATCTCCAAAGGGATCAAGAATAGCTGACTGGAATACCGGGCGGAATAGTCGAACAAGTATGCCTGAGGACTAGAGGGCAGCGTTTAGCCATATCTCACCGTCTTCCATACGACAACCACTCGTGATAGTAGCATTAAGCCCGATTTGGTGGCGTGCATGACTAGCGTTATCTTCTAATATAAGGTCAAGGTTGCTTTCACATCCAACAAGTCAGCCCGGCTAGCTCAATCGGCAGAGCGTGAGACTCTTAATCTCAAGGTTGCGGGTTCAACCCCCGCGTTGGGCTTTAACTTTTGCTTTCGATTTTTCTTTTTGCTGGTCGGATCATAGGGGACTAGTGCCTTAAGCAAGCATCATTGATTGACCAGCCCGTATTCAGACTGGAATTCCAATAAGCGGCCCGCATCGGGCTCAAAACATGCATTCACCACAAACAGATACTCCAAAGAAAGGATCCCCAATTGCCAACTGTCACTGTACATTGCCCACCCTACCACTTGCAAACAACCACCCTGAGGCAATGGCAGGTGATATTTCCTCCCGTAGAACAAGCCCTAATCCTCGTCCAGCATTGTTGAGCTCGACTCCCCAATCATCATGCCCCGTCTAGCTTTCTCCTCCGTCAACTGCCGCACGGTCTCAGTCAAAGCCATCACCTGCTCCTTCAACTGCACGAGCTCGGCCGTGGTACTATCCACATGGAGGTTCGGCGCAGTTTCCTGGACGGACTGCCTCCAGGCATCGTCGATATCGAAGTCCACCTCCTCAGCAGCATGCTCCCACTCCTGGACACTATCGTCATCCTCTTCCCCACGGCGCCGGTTCCATCTGATCCGCCTCGCGTCCCGGACCTCCAGGAATGCAGTAATCAGCAGAATAGGCGAGTAGATAATGCCCATGATCACATCGTTCAACCTGGCATAGTACTGCCGTGGCAACCACCACTCGAAGGGGAGAACTAGGAAGATAATCTCCAGCAAGTTGAAGGCTTCATTGTAGACATTAGCCCCAGCTCATATCCGGGAGCAACAGAACTTACGAGGTATAAAGACATTTTCGTCAGGAGCCCGGACAAATTGCATGGTCTTCAGCGCAAAGGCGGCCATGTATTCATCAATGGCATTTCCAGAGATGTCCTCATAGGCACTGTTGTACAACGCAATGAGGATATTTAGCAAGACTAGCAATAGTCAGTCACCATAGCGAAGTAGAGAGCGGGGCACTCACTCGTCATCACCACGAAGTTGAAAAGGTAGTAGAGAATGATGCCGAAAGGAAAAGCAAAGTCTTCGAAAGTGCCGAACTCCGGACTCTGCATGATACTGTTCGCCATACCCTGGATGATGCTTCTCGTGATCGGAATGTCATTGTCCACTTGAGCCATACCAATGAAAGCTTGGAAGAAACCCGCCAGCACGACAAAGAGAAGAGCAAAAAATATCAAGCTCTCTTTCATCATGACCCGTAGCACCACAAACATAGCACCGAAGAACCGGAATGAGTCGAGATAGAGCATCATGCGCATCCAGAACATGGGTCCTGCGAAGGCTAGAAAGTTGTAACTGAGCTCATTGAACTTCTGCCGTTCGGCATCATGCACCGACGGGGAATGAGCCAGAGCCACAACTCGTAGAACGAAGGAAACCACCAGGAGAGAATAGAGGGTAGAGTTGAAAGCGTTCCAGAAATCGATGTAATGCCAGCCGACCTTCCAGACCTTGGCGATCTCATCACAAATAAATGCGAGAGTCATCACATAGAGAACACCTTCGACCACATCCAAATCACCAGAGGGATTGACCGTGTTAATGACCTGGGTATACAGACCGAGATACACCAGAGAAAAGAAAATCTGACAAACGTTTTGATAAAGAGGTGTCCGCATACGATCGGGATGGAAATGGACCTTGAAACTCGTATTGTCCCTCTCCTG